GCGAAGTTGTTTGACGACCTCAGTGACCTCCCCCCGGGAGATTGGTGTCGATCCCCCGTCATACTCCAGCTCTGCCTCTAACATAGAGGGCGGAGTTGTCGGGTTCAGGAGTTCCTCAAAGTGCTCCTTCCTCTTTTCTCTCCAGAGCTAAATCTCTCTCCAGTCCTCCCCACTCTTTAATGGCCTGTCTTTCACAGCTCCACTTCCTTCAAACCTCCATACTCCCCATTCTTATCGGCTCGCTTCCACCCAGCATTTTGCCTTTGGTCTTTTCCTTCCTGTCTCTGCTGGGAGTCACCACATGTAAGCCTAAATCAGCGAGCCACAGACTATGTGGCGAGAGAGATGACAAAACAGCATCAAGAGAAAGCATACATTGTGATCTGAACATTAATCGAAAACAAATATAGGTTGGAGCTGTGATGCAGCAGGGAGTGATTTATCTATTGTAGTAATCACAAGACTGAACCTTCAAAAGCTTTCATAAAAACGATCCAAGGAAGTTGAGGGTTCTTCAAACTGATATATCTTGGATTCACTAAATGACAGTGAACGTACATACTGTACATGCGTGCCTATTTATTTCCTCTTTCTTTGAAGGCCGTTCATGACTTTTCCAGATTATGAGCTCAGGAGACACATGCTGCCCTCTGGCTTTGCTGTGTAACTGTTGTTCCTTTATTTTTCTTTGGGTCACAGTCGGCTCTCGTCATACCTTCAGCCTCATGTCTCGTGAGCTTCATAATGGGAAACGACGAGCCATCAATCAGCAGTTGAATCTACTGAAGTCACAGGGGGAAAAGAAGGAAATGAGGCAGGCAGAGGGTGGACAAATCATCTCTAGGAATCTCAAGGATGTATTGTAGATAGTCAAGTCAATTTCATTTACTGTACACAGCCCTGAAATTGCTGATTTGCCTCTAAGGACTTACAGTCTTAACAACATACACCACTCTACATTAGGCTTCAATTTGTACAAGGAAAACTCAACAAATAAAGTTCCAGCTAATCAATTGTGTTTATTTGTTGCTTCTCTTTGACTAGCGTCTTGGTTAATTGGTTATTTCAAGGATTTGGACTGCTTAGTTTGATCCTGATTTTATCCTGGTAAATGGAGCATAAAACTGCATTACATTTTTAAACCGCTAAAGCAAGACTCTAAATCTGTGTGTTTGTGTGTGTGTGTGTGTGTGTGTGTGTGTGTGTGTGTGTGTGTGTGTGTGTGTGTGTGTGTGTGTGTGTGTGCGTGTGTGCGTGTGTCCATATGACAGGTTAGATCATGGACAAATTAGCCTGTGAAAACATGGTCCAGGCCCTGATTTCATATTAAGTGAGGTAGAAATTACCCTTCTTCCTCAATTGCTTCATGGATGTATGTTGCAGTTACAAGGATGGTAGTCACTTCCTGTTAAACATATCAAATGTAGGGTCCCAGGCTCCAGCCAATGCTTTGGGGGGGTCAAATAATCAAAATTATAAGCGGGACTAAAATAACATGAGTTAACCACATAGGGAAGTACTAACAAATGGCATTAAAACAAATAGTGACTGAATATATACAATACATTAGGATTGTTAAAAAACAGACCATACAGGACAGACTTTAAAAGCGCAATAAAAACACCAGTCCTTCCCACACAGGCCTGCCAACTGGTGTCTGCTTTTTATCCGATCACTTCTCACCTCATTGAAGGGTCATAAATTACCACACACACATAAAACACACACGTTGGCTAGGTGAACGAAGTGACTGAAGTTAAGGTGTGGGATGATGTGATGAAAAAAGTCAAACAAATCCCTCTTTCTTCCTGCAACCAGGCAGAGAAAATAGTAAACACACAGTAGATAATATCTTAAATCCTTTAATAACTTAAAGTCTTGTCAATATTTCTGTCTCTTCCAAGGATTAACCCTATCTGTTATTTATCATGTCCGCCATTGACAACGACATGTTCCAGGTCCACCTTCTGCAGCTGGAGGAATGTGTGGGGAGGATTCTGACTTTGTAGCACAGGTTCACAGCTGATTTGAAATAAACTTCTAAACTAAACATTGTTCTGAATTTTGTGTCGCTACCGAAAAGATGGAGGATTTGACCAAATCCAGATATTCAGGTTTGTTTAAATCTTAATTTGGCTGATCTACAGGGTGTGTCAGTACACCACAACAGAAGTTAAGTGCAAATGTTAAAAGGAAGTTCATGTTTTCTACTTGTGTATGTTAGACTGTCTACAGTCACATGTGATGTTGTATAGTTTATGTTTAAGGTCCTAGGGATAAAGGATGTAAATAAGCATTCAAGATCTTATATTTTTATTCTGATGTTAATTTATATGATCTGTCAAAAATGTAACCACAGCCATCAGTGATGCTACAAACATTTAACCACAATAGCAAGAATATTTTTTTGGATTTTCTCTCTGCCTAAAAATATTGTTTCTCTATAATCCATGTTTATTTCTGGAAGAGTCAGCGATTTCTTAATAGTTGGAATTTTAAGTGGACACATTTACATTTCCACTTTACTTGTGTAAACTTGCAAGAGCAAGAAATTCTGAGAAAATCTGTCCTCTTTACACTGTATAAAATGCAGTAAACATAATTCCTTTCTCCCTCTGTGTACATGGGCCTGTTTGCATTTCTCATTCCTAAATCACAGATCTATTAAAAGTTCCCCCGTCTGACACCATACATTTCATCTGGACCCAGACTGTCCCCTGGGGTGGACGGTTTGGGAATGGCCCGCTAAGAGCAGGATGGGAACCCACAGCTCAGTACACAGACCTCTGACCTCAGAGGGGAATAAAATAAATGAATAAACAACTTGCCGGAAGCTTCCTCTGTTATTCCATCTGTCTCTCCGGAAAAACCAGGACATTGTGCAATTTATTTTTTTAAAGCAGAGAAATGGAAAGAGTTACGGATTAGAAAAAGGAAGGTCAACAGAGATAAGAAATATGCTTAATCAGAGAAAAACAGATAACATGAACCTAGTGACATCCACAAAGAACACGACTCTAATATTCTTTAAATATTTTTAAATGTATCAGCTTGGGTTAAAATTGTTGTGTCACATACTTTTTGTCTTTTCATGTTTCACAAATAGCCCACAGCTAATCTTAGGAGAAGAATGCACACTTGGGCTGTTTCTCAATGTCAAGGAAGGATGCTCCTGAGCCACTATTTCAAGGATATTACGTCATCGAGTCCCGCCTAAGGACTGTTCCAATGTCCAGGCTCCTTGGAATTCCACCGAGCCCGGCGTCCTTCGTAGCGAGACATTTCGAGGCTGCACATGTGTATCCTCCGCGGTCTTAAAATCCCCACAATGCTTTGCGCACGGACCAATTTCCAAATCTTTGGCGGAAATCGCGCTCCATTTAAGGAGGGGCCTCACATATGACGCACACCTGCACACCTGTTAGCCTGTTCCACCATTCTTCGTTTTCAGAGGCTAGGAAGGATTCTTGCCTCGCTTCTTAAGGAAGTGACTCGGAAGATATGTCCTACCAAGGAAGCGTCCTCGACATTGAGAAACACCCTTGCACTACTTCACAAACTTTGACTCACAAATAAATGAGGTTTCCATGTCTCTTTTTGGATATTCAACTCTACGTTTACTCAGTTGCAAACAATGTGAATACCTTAAATCTTTCAAGTGGTTGTATAAACTGTATCAGAAAATGTGGCAGTGAGAAGAGGCCGATGCTACGGAGTGTGGACATTATCCTCTGATGTCATCAATGTGGGGCAGGCCACCAACAGCCACATACTTCCACAGTAACATCTCCAGACCAGAGCTGATACACTAACATTCACACAACACTCACTGGTGTAAACTGTGAAGTCATGGTGAGTTAGGCTTACTTACAAGCTTAATAGTTTGTACAACGTGACATCTGAGCACAACAGGCGGGAAAAAGTGTTTAGTGTTTGCGGTGGGAAAAAGCCTGCTGTCCAAAGGCTGGACCAGACCTAATATTTTAACAAATGCTATTTTTTTTCCTGGAGGCATTCATGATGTGTTTCGTGTTTGTACATATCAGAAGAATGAAAAAAAGAGAGCGTGTGAAAGAAGTCTAAATCCTAACACCTGGCCAAAC